GCATCAGGAAAAATAGCTGCTCTGGGCTCTCAGCAGGGCTGGAGATGTTGGCAGGTTTCAAGGCTGGTCCGTTTCCCACTCCAGAGTACAGTGAGCCAACGGGGCTTTCAACCATTCTCTGATTCATATAGTTGCCCCACCCTGTGGACCAGGTCTTAGCTGGTTACGAGCCATGCCATCCCATAGACCTGGCTTGTGCAGCCTAGCCCCACACACCTGATGTGGAGCAGAGAACCAAGGAATCCGTGCATTTCTAGCCAGCTGATTACCTTGGTCACCGGGGATCATCGGAATCGTAACGCCTGAGGCCTTCACGTACCGAGGGGTCTTCATTAGATCGGCCAACTAGGGAGAAAAAACCAAACAGACTGCAAAGGAGTCACCAAAAGATCAGAAGATCAGGGAGATACTGAATAGGTCGTTTGGCTGTGAAGACTCATCAAGGCAGAGCACATGATGCTAACCTGAGTTAGTCCGTTAGCTGCAGCTAGACTGGAGCAGGAGAAGAGAGACAGGCAGCAAATCTGCAGCCAAGCAGGTATCAGACCTTTAGGAGGACATAGATTTTCAAAACCTGGATCCATCCAGCTCATAGAATCATAGAAAAGTCAGAGTGAGAGGGACTGTGATAAGTCATCTAGTCTATCCCCGCCCTGAGACAGGACTAAGCATTACCTGGGCCATCCCTGTTTGTTTCACCTGTGCTTAAAAACCTCCAGGGATGGAGCTTTAACAACTTCCCCAGGTGATTCATTGCAGGGCTTAACCACCCTGATAGGAAGTTTTTCCTGCGGGCTCAGAATCCTCTGCCTCCGCAATCTCAAAAGGGAGTTATTCCTGGCCTTTCTCATCCCTTCTCTGCTGAAAACCTCCATCACGCTTCAGCTGCCCACGAACAGCTTGGAATTTCCGTGCCGTTTCCCAAACGAGGGAAGACAAAGATGAAATTGTGAAGATTTCCTGCAGAGCAACGTTTGCGAAAAATGGTTTCGCAACCCTCAAAACCACTTGATCAAAGCAGAAATATAGCACTTCCGAACACTCTCTTGTATATGTTGAAGGGAAATGCTCCAACTTCTCATAACGTATAAGCCCAAAGGACTTTCAAAATCTAATCCAAATATTTAAAAAAAATTAATTTCATATTGACGATATTCTGTAATATTTAATACAAAGATTTCATTTATGGTAGATGTTGAAAATAAGCTGTTCAGCTTATTATGTGCCAAAAGTGCTAAACTTCTACTTGTAGCAGAATACAAAAAGCGACAGCAATATTTGTTCTAATTTTACTATAGAATTACTATATTTAACAATGGTTCATATAGGATATGGGTTGAGCTACAGCAAATCTGAATTATAGTATAATTCATAAACCCAAAGTGCTTCATCTCTAGGTATTATAATGTAGTCAAAACAATCAAACCAAGACAAAGCACCTTGATAAGTTTGCTTCAAAATTGGATGAAACTGACATGAGCCTGAGAACCCATTTTGATTGGTTGAATCTGTGTCCACTATACATCAATAATAGAATCCTAAGGCTAGGAGAGACCTCAGGAGGTCATTGTGTCCATTATACAGAACTGGAAGGGATGTTGAGAGGTCATCAGCTCCAGCCCCCTCCCTTCACGGCACAACCAAGAACCATCCCTGACAACTTACACAGATGCCTAAATGGCCCCCTTGAGGATCAAACTCACAACCAGGGGTTTAACAGGGCAATGCTCAAGCCACTGAATTACCCCTTTCCCTGGCCCAACAGCCCTGTATCTTCAGCTGGTCTTGCTTGACTATGACAGCGCCATCCTCAGTGGCTCTCCTGGGTGTCACGTGGTGACCCATCCTCGGCCAGTC